TTTTGTGTCTTTGATTGTCTAGTTTGTATAAAATCTCGAAATGTACACAATTAGTACAATTTTTAATTATAAATAAAGTGAATGTTATCCAAGAATGTATTTTGATAATGTATAGACTAAGTAGAGTTCTTAATAGAAAGAAAAATGATTTTACATAACATCCCMCATGGACAAAAAGTCGTTCATTTTCTTGTATATATTGTATGCGCGCCCGAATGAGTATCGGGATAGCGAGACGTCTCCGCGCGGACAAGAGGGTAGTGAGGGAGTGGTTTGGGTAAGTCGTACATACTTGTGAGAGGAGGAGTAGGCAGGATTATTAGTTGTGACGTCATCACAGATAATGACGAAAATAACGAAAATGTACCGGAGTAAAAGCGGAGTTATCCCGAATTACAGCCACACACACTTACAAGGCGATAGCGTAGTGGCTTGAGCCTCGTTCCGAGGCACTAGCCACAAAAAGGTGTCATGGAGAACGGCGATTGTCGAAGGGAAATTGCACGACCGAAAGGGGCTATGGTTGCACGGCTTTGATAAACAAAAATTCACTTATTAGAACGATTTCACATAAGCGTTTTTAACATGTAAATGAGTTATTCGAGTATTTAACATGCAAATTAGTTGTCACCTAAGATGAGTTGTTACCTTGAAAACTTGAGTCGAAAGCTGGCAACCCCCATAGCCTCCTTGTGAGAAGGCGAAAGACAGCTACAGAAAGAGGCCCAGAAGGCACGCACAACCATATGCAAGAAAGTAATGATTGCAAAGCTGAAGACCGCGCATGCCCAGCGAAGATTTTCCGAAGTTTGAAAAAATAATTTCTCTGCACAGAGTTGAAGGAGTGACACTTAAAATAGTCCGTTGGCATGATGGCCTATTTGTTAATCACTGATAGGACTTTCACTTAGAAATTGAGCGTAGGGAGAAATATTTTTTGAGTGCGAGCATTTGGAGTTGCAAACCTTTCCGGAATATATGTACATTTCCGTACACTCGGAAGGGAGAGCGAATCTTCGAAGTGCTCAAAATAACTCCAGAGACACTTTTATGCTAATATTATTAAACTAATGTGTGCTTAAATAATCATTCTGACTTTCGGAGAGACTTCTGAGAATCATTTACCGTTTTTCAGTGATTTTAGAAGGCATTATATTTATTACAAACTTACTTTGATACAAATTAAAATTCAAAATTGATTAACGGTCTAACACATCGTCCTCTCATAATACGTTTGGGCTACCTGTGGATTAGGTGTCAACTAATTTGCATGTTAAATACTCGAAAAACTCATTTGCATGTTAAAAACGCTTATGTGAAATCGTTCTATTAGAACGTATTCGCATAACCCACTTTTTAAATGCTAATGAGTTTTCCTAATATTCTAATGAGATTGGAACAAGAAACAAAAGAGCAAAAGATGCTTGAGTGATTTCAAAATATTACTATTTTGAGCTCAGTTCAATAAATACACAATTTCAAACGGAAACATTTTTATTATTAAAGTTAACCAATTTCAACAGTTATTGGCTACAAGATTGAAAATTCCTTGTTAATGCCAACAGATCGTTTCTTTTAAGCGGTTCATAATGTATTGTTTCATAATAAATTGTTTTAAATGAATTGGGCGCATGGGAAGAATTATAAAACAAGCATTGCAGACTTCCACAACCCGTCGATACCAGAATCAAAACCGATTCTGGACAATGAGGTCCGTTTCAGACGTCGATCTTTTGCCGCGTCTAATCTAATTACTTGCATGTAGTTTACGAGAAGTTGAGATAG